TTGGTGCTCCTTTCAATTGTTCGTAGTATTCACCGTTGAATTCGAAGTACGTGGTCAAACAGAGGCTGAGCAATTCACATATGTCTTCCTTCCTTAGAGATCCACTGGGAGGTCCATGACTGTCCAGTAGTTCAGCGACTGTTGTCTTTGCGGAGTGAAGGTCCACTGATGTGAACAGTGAGCTGACATCAAATAAGACCATTGTTTCGTCCTCTTCTATTGTCACATTCTTTAGTTTATCCAAGAACTGTTGTGTTTTTTTGATTGAGTGCTACGATTCATTGATGAGATACTTGACCTTTCTCCTTAGTTCATTTTCAAAGTTGTAGGTTGGTGTGCCTGGGAGTGACACAATTGGCCTTAGGGGTGTGGTCTCTTTGTGTACTTTCGGGAGTCCGTAGAAGCGTGGGGTATTGGATTCTCTGGCTCTCATTCGCCAATATTCTTCGGTTGTGATCTTTTGGAGGTCCTTCAGTCGCTTCGGGCTCTTGTTGATTTTGTTCGCAAGTTTTTTAGTTTGATCATCCTCCAGACGGCGATACGTGGTAGTGTCGTTGAGCAGAGCTTTTGCTTTGTCTACGTAGTCCGATTTGTCCATGATAACGGTCATCCGTCCTTTGTCCGCAGGTAGAATGATGATGGTTTCATCTTTCTTCAAATTTTCTAATGCTTCCCTTTCCTTGTTTGAGAGAAGGTTGAGAGTTTTGTTTCGTGTGATGGCCAGTACAACAGTTTGAAGGAGTTGTTGTTGAGCATTCTCATCCAGTTCAGCGGATTTCATAGCTGCCTCTAGGCTGGCCAAGAACTTACTTACTTTCTTACTTTACTTACTTACTTTATTTACTTTACTTTTCAAAATGTCGGCTAGCATTAGGCTTAGTGATGAGAAGACCTTGCCGAGGATATGTTCGTCAACCCATCTTCTTCCTTTTTTTAAATGGGGATTTTCGGAATATCACGTAATTTTAGCGGTATCCTTTCAAGATCACCTGCCCTACTGAAAGGTGGCGGAAGTTACTTACTCGTCTTCCGTAAGTGTTGTATGATACAACTTATCAAATAAGTTTATCTGAGAATCTTCAACTCTCCAGACGATGCATACAGACTGTTGAAAGTGCAGAAAGCGTTCCGTGACCACCCGCTGCTATTTGAACCTGTCGTTGATCTGGACACCTGACTAGATGATAATTTACTTGGCCTTATGAGTCACTTCACATTCGGATTTCTTTATGACTGGATTTGCCCAAGTATCCGCAGAACGTGATTAAGGTGATCAGAAACCGCGATTGTTAGTGAACCGTCTGCATCCAATTCTTTCAGCCCAATGAACAGTACGACCGCTTACACGCTAAGAGCTCTCATCATTTTCAGGAGCAACTATTCTAGTGTTACGCAATGAACGTGCAATGGCGGCAATAACTCTACATAAGAGAGAAACTAGAAGCCAAAACGGGGTGGTTGATGATGGGCTTGGAAATTCTTTTGCAAAAGTTTTGTCACCAAGCAAGATAACCTACTCAGTAGGTCAGTCTGTGGCAGCGCTTCATTGTTTTCCTGTATACAGTCAGAAAACTGAACCTAAAGCTTTTCACAGATGAAGTCGTCATCTCCAATACGAACGTGTCCTTGGTACGTGATTTGTAACTGATAGACCTAACTAAACTAAAACCATTTTGCTGACAGGCGAAAATGTAAACCATACTTTTTTTATCCGCATACTGCAGTGGCTACCACCTTGCAGGTTCAGGGACAGGCAGCCTCCGGACGCCCTGGAACCAGGCACATCCTAGAAGTGGTCCAAGCAATCCTTATCCAGGCGCACCGTACAGAGTTGGACAGACTGTATCGTCGGTTGTGGGTAAAGTAACATCTGCCGTTGGCCGCAAAACACGAGTGAAGGATAACGGAGACACGGTGGACAGTATTTTGGGAGGAGCCGTCTACTTTCGAGCCCAGTCGGCTACTCCAAACACCGTGGACAGATCCGGCCATTCGACCGGAAACATCCAAAGAGATTTGAAAACCCCACGACTGGAAGAATGCAACTGTGCAAACAACCTACGATGGAAAGGAACCCGCCACTCACGCGCGTCTATTCATCATTCGGCACCATTATCAAAATCTTCTTCTCTCAGTGTATCCCGATGTGCTAGTCGAAGAGGCTCTGTGCCTTCGAACTATGTGGAAAGACAATCAACGCTACATAGCCATTGCACGTCTTTTAGTTCAATAGGTTTATCCCAAAAAGCCCGTCAGATGGATCCGAAATGTACAGCCCAGGGGGCGGGGTTCGAAAGACTGCAAGAGCAGGGCTTAATTAAAACCAAAAACATCTCGCAAACGAAAGCAGGTTCGAAGTCAGTTCACGAGATGGCCAAACAACAGTTGAAACAACGCAAATTGATGGAACCATCTCCAGCGCATTCTACGAGAAGCAAGGTGAGACTTAGTCTGAGGTAGTTTTACCTATTCAAACTACCCACAGTCTGTGAACAGTAGTGATGGGGCTTAGTTGATGCGAAGCCTAAACAATCATGATTTTCCTCATCATGTCATTTAATCTTTGCCTTACTCATCAATTTATCAGTATGTGTTTGAAGAAAACTGCAAACAGTGGTTACACACTGCACTCCTCCAAGTGAACCCCCGCCGAAAACAAATCGGTAGGCGACGGAGTGCACTTCGCTAATTCCGTGCAAATGGGAGACTGCACCTAACTGATGAGCCTAAAAAAGGGCGAAACCGGTCGTGGAACGTTAAAGAATTACCGTGCGAAGAATCTCCAATATTGTACCAGCTGAAAACTGAGGTGGCCTGGTGCAGCATATTCAGTTGCTTGAAACGAGAGATTCATCTGGACCCGTCGAAACCAAATTGGTGTGCAAATGAGTTGTTTTCGTTTGATCTACTTCATTATATAAATTTAGTGTTTCGTGACTAAGAAGCCTCCGTACCACTTCTCTTCACTTTGTATGCCCAAATTTATGAGATCTCCTTTGTGTCCCTAGGTACGCTGACCGACACAAGAGGAAGATATCTGTGCTGTGCTCAGGCGAATCGGATTGCGATTAACAAGTTCCTGAAGCATGTCAATACAGCGGTTAACACAGATTCACTCAACTTAATTGTTGAATGTCAGAAAACAGTTGATAATTATCTACAGAAAAACCCGTGAGCTTAGTTTTATTTCCCGATTTGAGCTTCCACTTCACCCCACTACTTCTTTGAAACTTTATAACAGATATAAATTAGTTTTATTACGTTCAACCGTTCTGGCACTTTCGATTTTTTTAGTTAAAATTTGCTTCTCAGAGATGTGATACATCAATTGGGTCGTTTTTTACTTGCTGTCTGCTCCTGAAGGACAAAAAACTCACCCGCCCTTTGAAGTGATGGGCAACTTCACTGCCAGTTTCACCGAAGAGTTGTGCGATGTTGACTCACATGTTGATAAGTCCGTGCTCAGGGCTTACCACTTAAAGAATGTATGCACCCTGTTAATAATGCATTCAATAAAATATGTGAATTCCCGGCTGCTGTATGTTTATCCTCGATTATTTGCACAGACTTTTTTGGTTTATCTATGTTACGCTTTTGTTAACAGCCAGGTACCTGACGTCCTCTGTGGGATGTTTGTCTTGAAAAAGTAATACACAGGAGCATGAGTATAACTCTTTGGAGAGTTCTCCCTTAGACTAAGAATGCCCTGATAGCTGAACCACATGACGAGATAAGTAGCATTTCTGGTATGCCGCAATAGTACTGCTTAAACTAATGCTAACTTCTCGGTCCCTTATGGTTAAGAGCCCATTCCAACTCTGAGTTTGCCCCGTAGGTTAAAGTGAGACTTGATCACATGCCACAAGGTTTGACGATGACGATCCGGATAATAACAGATCATCCCCAAAATGATAAAAAAACTCAAGATCCTACTTTTCCATTCACGATACAAGTCAAGGAAACACATAGTCCCCTTTTGCTGAAGCACCAGTGTTGTGCGTGAAGTATCTCTGAAAACCGGAATGTGCACGTTACCGGTCTCATGTAGTGCTTCGTATGTCTTAATGCTAAACTACTTCACGCCAGTAGGTGTCTGCTGCTCCATACTTCTTCTTAAAGACCCAGTGCCATTATGTGTTACGGCAAATGACGTATTAGGTTTGCAGTAGATAGGAGGATAGAATCAAAAGTACAATTGCCGTAAACTCGAACGGTTTTCTCCCAAAAATGAAGAAGCATTTTGGCCTTTTCTAGTGGAGTGCTCCCATCTACGTGCCGAACTAGTGGTCTAACAGTTCAAAGTCCTTTCACTATTTACCAAGTGTGCTGGTTTAACCCTCCCGTAATTAGCACTTCTGCGAAATGAACTTGCAAATATGTGATATGTGATCGGACACTCCTGCTGCCTATATGGACAAAACCCACTTACATTTTTCGGTCCTAATGAAGACGGAGTTCAAGGGAGTTACTTCGGCACATTTTCACCACAGTCAGTTATTGACTGTGCTTTCAGTGTGTTTTATTTGTCCATGTTAGTTCATTTCACGAAAGAATGGGTCAGGTAGTCATTTTGATGAGCACTTCGGTAGTACTTTGTGCGATGGAAGTAAAAAACGTCAATTTAATCACGCTACTTGTTAGTACGCACAAATGTGCATGAAATTTTCAATCAGCGTTCACCAGTGTGACTTCAGAAAATATGCTTATTATTGTTACTTCTCTATTGTCACTCTCCATAACCATGAATGGGCTCATGGTAGGCCTTATGCACAATCTTCTGAAGGTGCTAGTGAAAGGCTTTGAGTTTCTTGTTGCTTCAGATATCCTCTGATTGCGGATTCAACATCTGTTTCAGCTGTTCGCATGTCTGACTGTCCTTGCGTGGTGGAACAGTTGGTTGCACTCCTGACAACAATGTTCGCGCATAGTCTGAATCCAAGAGCCCCGCAGAGTGCAGGGCTGCGGTTATTCGAGTTCGGCGGTCCGCGTAAAGCTGTGCGTCAGAGAACGTGGTCAGAGTGGTTATAAGGCGACTGGGAATGGACTCCTCCAATTCGGCAAGCAGTTCAGCTTCTTGACGACGCTGTTCTAGCTTGATTCGCCATGCCTGCGAAGTCGCATATGTACAAAATGGTGTGAATCGTTATATTTTATTTCAGTATTTAGGTTTCCAGAAAGTTAGTTATAGTCCTTGGATTATAAAAATTAAGCGATCCAAGAAACAGTATTTTTCGACAGTGTACAATGTACACGGTCCGCTGGGGTAATACATCATTGGCATATGGTGCATAGTTGAAGGTGTGTTGGAGGTTTCCACGGATATTTGGGTGACATCTATCTGTACACTTGGTGCCTATCCGAAAACTGTCCTTATCGTTGAAGCTACCCAGAACTCAAAAAGCTACAAGGCTCTCCAATCCAGCAGTAGATTTTCTCAGATATGTTTATCGCTAGGCAGATATTCGGAATGTGCACGTTACCGGTCTCATGTAGTGCTTCGTATGTCTTAATGCTAAACTACTTCACGCCAGTAGGTGTCTGCTGCTCCATACTTCTTCTTAAAGACCCAGTGCCATTATGTGTTACGGCAAATGACGTATTAGGTTTGCAGTAGATAGGAGGATAGAATCAAAAGTACAATTGCCGTAAACTCGAACGGTTTTCTCCCAAAAATGAAGAAGCATTTTGGCCTTTTCTAGTGGAGTGCTCCCATCTACGTGCCGAACTAGTGGTCTAACAGTTCAAAGTCCTTTCACTATTTACCAAGTGTGCTGGTTTAACCCTCCCGTAATTAGCACTTCTGCGAAATGAACTTGCAAATATGTGATATGTGATCGGACACTCCTGCTGCCTATATGGACAAAACCCACTTACATTTTTCGGTCCTAATGAAGACGGAGTTCAAGGGAGTTACTTCGGCACATTTTCACCACAGTCAGTTATTGACTGTGCTTTCAGTGTGTTTTATTTGTCCATGTTAGTTCATTTCACGAAAGAATGGGTCAGGTAGTCATTTTGATGAGCACTTCGGTAGTACTTTGTGCGATGGAAGTAAAAAACGTCAATTTAATCACGCTACTTGTTAGTACGCACAAATGTGCATGAAATTTTCAATCAGCGTTCACCAGTGTGACTTCAGAAAATATGCTTATTATTGTTACTTCTCTATTGTCACTCTCCATAACCATGAATGGGCTCATGGTAGGCCTTATGCACAATCTTCTGAAGGTGCTAGTGAAAGGCTTTGAGTTTCTTGTTGCTTCAGATATCCTCTGATTGCGGATTCAACATCTGTTTCAGCTGTTCGCATGTCTGACTGTCCTTGCGTGGTGGAACAGTTGGTTGCACTCCTGACAACAATGTTCGCGCATAGTCTGAATCCAAGAGCCCCGCAGAGTGCAGGGCTGCGGTTATTCGAGTTCGGCGGTCCGCGTAAAGCTGTGCGTCAGAGAACGTGGTCAGAGTGGTTATAAGGCGACTGGGAATGGACTCCTCCAATTCGGCAAGCAGTTCAGCTTCTTGACGACGCTGTTCTAGCTTGATTCGCCATGCCTGCGAAGTCGCATATGTACAAAATGGTGTGAATCGTTATATTTTATTTCAGTATTTAGGTTTCCAGAAAGTTAGTTATAGTCCTTGGATTATAAAAATTAAGCGATCCAAGAAACAGTATTTTTCGACAGTGTACAATGTACACGGTCCGCTGGGGTAATACATCATTGGCATATGGTGCATAGTTGAAGGTGTGTTGGAGGTTTCCACGGATATTTGGGTGACATCTATCTGTACACTTGGTGCCTATCCGAAAACTGTCCTTATCGTTGAAGCTACCCAGAACTCAAAAAGCTACAAGGCTCTCCAATCCAGCAGTAGATTTTCTCAGATATGTTTATCGCTAGGCAGATATTGACTAGCAGCCCATAATATTAGTAAAGGCCATGGTCGATTGTCTGCATTTGCTCACCTTCAGTTTTGTTGCTGGAAAATTCCAGGCAGGTTTATTGAATAATTGACAGTCACTTGGCCATTTATTTAGCTTCCTAGTACGAGCTGACCTAGGCAGAGTTTGTGTGGCGAGAAGACCTTGTAGTATCACTGAAGATTTCCTTCAAAAAGCTACTTCACACCGAGCCGAAGAGCCGAGGCGCATTATCATACTGTTTTATCGTGGTGGAAGACCATCAGCAGTATCCATCTTCTGAGTCTCTACTCTAACCACAAACAAATAAGTGTCGTTGTTCCGAAGGGAAATACTTGCAGTCCTGGAGGAATTTAACAGGCCCATGCTGCAAACACTCGTCTACAGGACTTAAAAAAGTGAGTCCTGTTTATCAGCTCCATCATCATCATCATCATCAACAGTTTAATATCAGCACACAACACTGACACTTTGCTGCCGTACAACAATGATTTACCTGATGGCCTTCTTGTCAAGAAATGAATAAAAGTGGACAGGGAAAAGTTTTAGTACTAGTCTAGCAAAATCATTCCTAAGTGCCTACACCTCCAAACACTCGTTCAGACAATCTCAATAAGAACTGACAACAAGAACGACATGTTTTTTATTGACAGCCATATCTTACTGCGTCTCCAACTATGCACGGGGGGATCACGTGGTCCTCATCCTGGAAGGTAAGTCACATCAACAACACCCAGACTTTTCATAATCTCCCTCATATACCTCCGCCAAATCAGAGGTTTCTCGACTCTTTGTTTCCGCGTCGTTGTACAACTTGAACACATACTCCGGTTGAGACCATACCGTTACAAGCCACTGCAGAGGTGTTTTTATTGTGAAAATCAGCCCTATGCAAGGTTATGCGTGCAAGCTATAACCACCAATCAACCAGGATATAACACACCGTCGTCGTACGACATTACCGACAAACATTACGTCCCCCCTTATGTTCCCATCTTCGGCATGTTTCTACAATCACTCCATATGAATGGTCATTGTTTTTGTAGATCTTTCAAAGAGATCTCCATAGCCATAAAACTACCATGCGTCGAATCGTATCTAGTGTCCATTGGTTTAACTCAGACAGAAATCTAGCGACAGCGGATGGCTTTGTTTTGAATCGTACCGGCATGGTTTCTTTCTTAAACATCACCAAGTAAGGAAGGTAGAATAAGCTTAAAAGACGATAGTCCGCAAGAAATGAGTCGGACTGACTAGGTTATGTTGTCCCATGCTTGCTACTTGGGACGAAAAGCTTGTTTGGTCTTCAGAAAAATAGATGAGTGTTCGTTGAAATCTTTGTGAGGACATGCAGTTCATCCAGTGATTGACCTCGTGAATGACCTTTTTGGGAATTTTTCAAAATTTGCTAATAGCTTTGTATGTCTCACGTAATTACTACGCAGGGTAGGACGAAGCTAGAAAATTTCACCCTTAGTTGAAAATGTCGAGCTGAATCTTGTTCAACGAGCACAATATACATAGCCTTAATGCCATATCGAATAAGAATTGGCGGGTAGATGGACGCAATGTTTTCCATTCAGATAGTTTTCCATCAGACACATAACCCAGCAAAACATCTTTAAAATAACTCCTACAGAATTGCATGATGAACGTCGTATTTGATCATCGCTTGACTGATACTTGATCAGAAAGTACCAACTATTGCACGAAGAGTTAGTACTTTACAACCGATTCCGTCGAACAAAAAATGCAGCACCATATCTAGGTAAGGGCCGTCCTTTACACAGTTGCATTACGATAGTACGTTAATTCCTATTCCTTATGTGAGCTCAGTATCATCACCGAAAAAATCCTCTGATTCAGGGCCTAGATGGATTAGATACACTGGGCGCACCACGAAGCACCCCGTCCGAGGAACGAAGGGACATAATCCACTCTGGCTAGCTTCTGGAACTATAAGGACGGTAACTAGTTCAGTCGTGCAGCAACTAACAGCCAAACATTCCTATTGCTTACAAAGCGCCTGTTAAGCAACCCAGGTCGTTGCAGCACCGCACAATCGCAGTGGCTAAATCTATCGCCATGCAGCCAGAATCTTTGTCGACAAAACGATGCGTTCACATATTGGACTTGCCATGGTCCAGATCAACTCCCCCCATACACAATCTGTGCTGAACACAACTTCACAGCACTGCATGAACTGACAAACTCAATTCATCCAACTGATGACTTGCACTAGTTGTTCCTTGACAGGTTGTCAGGACGGCACTCTCCTTCGGGTTCCTGTTTCATGTACATCACGTTTATTTAGTTGGGTTAAATATGACTTGAAAAGATCATGCCGAAAGCATATTCATTAACCCAACTTTGTCTGTGTACCGAATGGGAATTCTAAAAGTGTTGCTCAGACGAACGGTTTCCGTGCGTTCGAAAACCAATAATGAACGATTGAGTCTTATCTCGACTGCTCAAATGACCGCTGGCCAATCGATTGTGATGTTTCTTAGCAGAACCTGCTCTCTCCTTGTTTTGGTTGTGTGGATCACTCAAATTTAGTTTTGCGATCTCTCAATTTGTACTGATCTGAGGTAGAGGCCTCCAAAACACCATTTACCAGGTTTCCTCCGATTTTCTGTCCAGAGGACAGCGCCTTAAATCGCCCTGTTACCAGTCGCAACTTATTTTACTCTCGTTTCAACGGTCATCTCACCGTTCCTATTCCATTTCTGTCGCCAGTCCACACCGGCGTGGGAAGCATTAGAATAGGGTTCTACTCTTATTACAGCTCATCAGCAGTGCATTATACCGGTTGTTTGGGGTTTTCAACCCCAAAGATTCTACACGCCTGGTGAGCTTCCAGCAGGGGCTGATGGAGAAGTGGTAACACGCTCACCTTGCCAGTTAGATAGCAGGAGTTGAGATCTCACAACGGACAAGGGTGTGCAAGGCTGATGTGGGCTGTGATAAGAGCAAAACCTGAGTCCTCCTGTAGTTTGGGGAAGTACTATTCCAACGAGAGTTATGGGTACGTAAGTTCTACCAATCCAGCAACTACCTATTATTAAGTTTTATTTTCGTGGCTTAGATTTGAACTGGTCTGATGGCTCCGTTTCACACAACACTTACTCTGGTTTCCGATGTGATTCGTTCAGGATCGGATTTGACAACTGGTCGTACCTGAAGCAGAAAGTACAGGGTGGATTTGGGTGCGACGACGTAGGAATGGGTTAGCTTTCATACAATCAGAATTCTAGTTACTTGCCATCTTGCTGAAACTATCGGGCAAGGCTGTCATGCGGCCAAAACGAAACTGCACTTTAGGTGGAACTTGGACCTTTTTTGACGAAACCAATAACAGTTATCTCCTTTCTACTGAACGGAACTTCACGATTTTTACAACAGTCAATCCAGTGATTTATAAAACACTATATTCTGACGACAGAAAAACTACAAGATAACCTCTTGGGATCAAGCCATCGAGAGAAAGAGATCCGGAGAATATTATCTGGCCATAATGCCCGGAAATCTCTAAAAATTTGACTCTCTTATTATTCACGTTCTTTTGTTGCTTCATTCAACCCATTGGATGAAATATTTTAGGAGATCCGGCTGAGTGAGAGCAGTCTAATATTGTTACTAAGCGCTGAATGTAGAAAAGGACGGCACTCATTTTCAACGGTGGTTCCTGGATTACCCAAATCTTGCTCCACCTTATATACTTTTGTGAATTTGGACGTTGCTCCGACTGTGCTCGACGTACCAATGTCTCAGTAGCCGGTCTGTAGCTCTCATTTACCTTTTTTGGATTGGTAGGCCACCAATCCGCGGGCGATTTCGCTGAAGTTGAGAGTAGCGCCAAGTAACAGAGCTGACATGATGAACATTCAGGAACGGTAACAGGGAAGCAGGATGTCCTGGGTTTAAATGGCCCCATATTGCATGTTTTCAGGCCTAGAAACGAAGTATCTTCAGTTAAAACGACCCTTTGTTTCTTGTAGAGAAGTGCATCATTAGAATGTAAATCTTGTAGCGAACTATCTTTTTGGCAATGTGTATATTGCTTGGATCATGCTGGATCCGGATGGCATTCTCGTTTAACACCCACAAAATGGCATATTAAACGGTGTAATATCTGGGTGCTGTTCTAACTCCAGTGCCTGGTGCCAGGAAGAGAACTTGCCAACAAGGAACACAATAGCTCTATTGCAACAAGCGAGTGCGTGCGAGTGCGAAAGGTACAACGCTCCCGCGCTATTTGAAAGGAGCTTTCTGACACTGGCACTTTCTGATAGGCCCTTAGTGAACATCCATCAACATCGATCGTGTTTCTACGAGATGCCTGAACACTAATGACATTCAAGGTTAATTTTTAATTCAAGGTTAATTCAAGGTTTAATGGTCTAAAAAGCAATTAACTTTACAAAGACCATAGGGTGAACGTATATATACAAAGGGACGCAAAAATATGCG